TTTACTTGATGCTTTAATACTGATAAACTGACAGATTGCGGGGCGGGAGTATTGATTTTCTTTAGGGATTTTGCGATCTCAGTATCTTAAATATGATAAATAACAGAAGCATGCTTTTTTATCTCTCTGTTTTCAGCTGAAGTAAGTTATTGAGATGATCTTTTTAGAATGATAGAGTTAAAGATTTTCATTTCATTCTTCAGTAGTTGAAGATCAGTCTTATAATTGAATACTTCAGTGAGAATATTATAAATAATGAAAAGTTCTCATTGTTTATCTTTATGAGATTTTAAATTCTTGAAATCAAAATCAAATTTCATAAAGTCAGAGAGAGCATTTTATTAAATAGATTTATATTCTTGTAGAAAATTAGCAGAGAATTTCTCAGTAGTTATGAGAATAACAGAAAAATCTTTAAAGAATTTAATAATTATGAAAATTACAGATTTAGAAATTAATTTTGCTTCAATAAAAGCATTATTAATTCTGTTTCTCATAAAGTAAACTTTTTTATAAATTTTCTTACTGATTTCAGCAGTAATTTTAAGCACAAGTCTTTTCTTCAGTAGATTTATTTTTATTGTTTTCTTTTCAGTAGAAGTATTTGAACTTGAAGACTGTGAATTATATTATCTTGCTACATAAGTTCTTCTTTACTGCTTCTGAATAAAAGAATGGTGAAGAGGAGACAGTAGAAGCAGAAATAAAGACAGAAAATTCAGAAAATATCTGATTTTTAGTAACAGTAGAGTTGTTTCTTGTATTTTTAAGCTTTTCAAGTCTTTTTTTCAGATTCTGAATTAAAGAATTCTGAAAAATGAAGATATCTTCTGACCTGTAGAAGAAGAGAATTTTTTAAAGACTGAGAATATAAGAGTTTAACTTTTTTTGAATAAGAATATGATTTTCTTTTTTGAATTCCAGTGCCAGTTTTTGAAGAATCTCTTTAGAATTCAAATTGAAGAAGAAGAAGAAGAAGAAGAAGAAGAAGAAGAAGAAGAAGAAGTCAGTAATAAAATAGAAGAAGATGTAAGTTGATTTATTTATAATAAATATTATAGCAGAGTTGACAGTATTGATTGAGTTAGAGTTGTTATTGTTGTTGTTGTTGTTTTTGACACTGGAGTCACTGAAATTCATTAAAGAATTAGAGAAAGAGATAGAAATAGAAGACATTTTGACTATATTTTAGATAGAAACACTAGATTTTTTCTTACTAGAAATCTAGAAAACTAAACCAGATTTTTTCAATAGATTGACAAACTATAATGGATTGATTTTCACATAAATTAAATCAGAAAAAGTCAGAGTTTAATATTTCTCTGAACTTAACAGAGTCAAGCAGTTTAATAAAAGATGACTCTGAAAACTTAAGAGAATGAGAGAGTGCAGAAAATAATAAATAAGTATACTTAATAATGATTGAGAGAATCTGTTAATGATTTTTAAAGAGAAATCATTCAAACTATCAGCTTTTGCTATCAGAATATATATCAGAAATCCCCACACTATAAAGAGTGCAGCTTAATTCTCTATATATCTGAAAAGCAGAGCAAAATGAACTACAAGTGCAGACTCTATTTTCTGTAAAGTCAATTCCAGAGAAAAATTACTTTTTACTTTTTGAAAGAGAAGCAAGAAACTTATAAATAAGAAATAAAATCAGTATTTAAACTTATTCAACTCAGTTTTTTTTAATTTTCAGATTACAATTCTAGCTTTTCTCCACAAAATATAATATATAAAGTACAAAATATTTCAATGGCAGAGTGAGCTCCAACTGCAGAAAAACTGAAAAAGCTGCTATAATATGCAAGTATAAGAAATTCTTCTTAATCAGCAAAGCACTGAAACCAGTATGTCTTATCTGACTATAAAAGATCTTAATTATTGTCACTGAAAAGCAGATGCAGAGATCTGTGGCTCAGTAAGACCACTGAATATAACTGATATCCAACTGAATTTTCTTTGTGCAAAGTTGAACCAGTTTCAGTGGAGTTGAAATGATTTTGGTGAAGTTGAAATACCTTTGAAGCTCAAGAATGATATATTAGAGATAAGATAAGATCTCAGAATGTTTTGACAGACCATCTCAAAAGACTTTGTAAGCAATTCTTGATAAGAACTTCAAAAATTAAGTTTGTGTGTGAGCAGAGATTTTTTGAGTGAGAAGTAGAGACTGAAGAAACAAATATAAAAAGTAGAAATATAAAACTTAAAGAAGTTTGAGCTGAGAGCTGAAAGAGTGTGTAATTCAAATTTCTAAATAAGAAATTGTGTGATTGTTAAGTTATGATTGAAAGAGTGGATTTTCATCTGAAAATAGAGGTATTGACTTCACCATCTTATTTCTCAATCACCACATCAAATCCCACCACAAAAATGAAGAAATAGAGTGAATAGAGAGTGAGCTTTCAAATGAATGTGGTTTTATTCCATTTCCACCAAAATTGGGGGAGTTGTGGTTTTCTGTTTGTTTGTTAAATATTTAATTTTGTAGCTTGATACCAATTCATGACAAATTTTGAAAGCTTATAGAGATCTATATATTAAGGATTTATAAAATTTGATTTTTCTAGAAGATTCAGCTTTACTTACTCTATATAAAATACTTAAATATATTTGATTAAAAAGATTCTATTTGCTTATATATTATATCCTTTATTTTATATAGTATTTTGATAGTCAGATTTACATGTGGTATTATGAGTCACATATTCAATTCTATATTATATAATTATACTGTCATACTATTCTAATATTAAAAAATAATATATTTTAATTTCAGGAATATATCTCAAGTATTGCTTATATTATTTCTATTTAAAGTCTTATCATCCATATAGAATTTGCCATTGTTGAGTGATGGCCGTCGTTGAGTAGTAGATTACATTACCAACAACTTAGTCAGCCAAGACAAAGCAAGCAGGTGAATTAATCACAGTCCTGATACAATCACCACCAAACTTTCTGCTTGGGGAAATGTTCAATGATGTTGCATAGATCTACCCAAGCTGCTCCACCAATGTACTGTCAAAAGTGCCATCTCCCTGTTAAGTGGAGTGATTCCCTGGATGCCTTAGATCCTGCAGCATTTGATATTCTTATAGGTACGCGGACCTTCGGTTTCAACGCTTGGGAAGATTCGCTTATGAAGGCAATATAGCTTCGTCTAGTAAATGTCACCCAACTCTCCCGGCCAGCCCTGGTGGTAAGCGTCAACAAGATTTGCGGAATACCGCTCGGACTTTACCATCTTCATCCGCTGCCGTATACCGGCGTGAAATTGTACATGCACAGCGTGAATCTACTACTCGCTTTTCCTCGAGACGTTCTACAAAAGATGTTCCTAATATGTCGTTCGTTATGCTCACCCAGTCAAGCTCTGATATCAATCCCAGCAGTGGGACTCGATCATTACCATACACAGCTGTTCCCTCTGTTGCAGATCATGATATGAAATCATTGATAGACCATATTGAGAGGTCTGTGTCTCTTCATGAGACTATCTCCGCGCGAACAGATATAGATCACCCGATATGTGTTGAATGTGCCGACCGAGTTGACAATGCTCTTCAAAAGCAACTTCTCGATGTTGCGAAAGAACGAGACGCATATACTTCGTTTTTGAGAAATGTCAATGCGTCAATTCCTGCCGTGGACGAATTTGCCACGGCCCAGCAGTCCCTGAATATGATGCTGAATCAGGAATCCGATGCCGCTGGACGGCTCATGAAACTGGAAGCAGAGAAAATGGTAATTGACGGGGAAATTACATCTTTAGGGGACAAGTATGAACAACTTGATAAGGACGAAGGATGCTTTTGGCAAGAACGAACCGATTTCACAATGACTCTGGGAAGCTTCTTGAGTGAACGTGATGCACTAAATATCAAATACGATCATGACTCTCGTCAACTCGAACGATTACAACGGACAAACGTATATAATGACACCTTTTGCATTAGCCATGATGGGTATTTCGGCACCATAAATGGTCTGCGACTGGGCCGCCTTGGAAATCCCCCTGTTGAATGGGCAGAGATCAATGCTGCTTGGGGCCAAACCCTTTTGCTACTTAGTACAGTTGCCAATAAACTGGGCTTTCAGTTTGCAGGATACAAATTACGTCCAATGGGATCGGTTTCGAAAATTGAAAAAATTGTCTACAGCCAGCAGGGTTCCAATCCTCCCGCGTCCGGTCACGACAATCCGGAGGTCCGTCTCTCTCCAACTGTTACTTCATTAGACCTGTTTTCCTCTGGGGACCTCCCGCTTAATCTCCCTTGGCTCCACCGCCGGTTTGATGCTGGAATGGTGGCGTTTCTGGATTGTCTTCGACAACTGGGTGTTCATGTCGAACAGTCAGTATCAAATCCGCCTTTCTCAGAACCTCCTAATGATGTTCGCCCGGGCACTCCTTTTGACTTGCCCAATATGCCACAAAGCCGCGCTCAGCCCCAGGCATCTGGAGGTGGTCTTAAGTTGCCTTATGAGATAAGAAAGGATAGAATTGGCGATGCAAGCATTAAGCTTGGTTTTAACCAGAATGATGAATCATGGACACGTGCATGCAAATACACATTGACATGCTGTAAATTTCTCCTTGCACATGCAAGCAATAAAGCTGTGGTTAGATCAAATAATTTCATTAATAACCTTTAACACAGCTTCTTATTCCAAAATGCAGATATGGTTATATACTTTTTGTTTTTTTGCGTACACATGCATTTCACTTCTATTTAGGATTACTATAGAATGATGTGTTTGAATTTGTAATTAATAAGCTATTATGCTCCAGATGAGTAAGTTGTGCTAATGATGCTTGAACCCATAAAGAATGAATAAAGAAATGGGAAGTGACAATGAATAGTCTTCAAAAAACAAAGAGAAGGAACATCAGCAACTTCACAAAGAGCTAAGATCCTCTGTTAAACTATGATAGCAAATCCAAACAAAAAGGAGAAGATTAGAACTCCTAAGCCAATTCCATGGCTCATCTTGTTCATGGGATTTCCCATACTTCCACCAGTTTTCGGAACACCTGTTGTTGCTGCACCATCCCCTAAGCCGGTATACACAACATCAGTAGCAGTGCTTGAAGCTACAGCAGATGATGTTGTGGATATTGTTGCATTTGTCTGTTTTGGATGTTGTGCGCCACATGGGTTTTGTTCACGGCATGCTGACTGGCAAGAGGAGTCACCGTTGCAATTTGTAACACACAAGTTATTGCTTTCAGTGCAAATAAAGTACGGAATAGTTTGTGAGTATTCTGATGCATTCGGTGTCAAATTGTTACTGCAGACACAGTGAAACACTAATGTTTCCTGTGCTCATTGTTAGTGTTCCATTTGATCACGACGGGCGGGTATCAGAACTCACAGCATCACAATCATTTTGTTTAGGTACATCAGTGGTGCCAGGTAAATGACGGCAAATCAAGGGGCAAGACTCCTGTTGCAGTCTACACCAATGATCTATCTAATGTTAGATGTAGTAAGTTGTGTTTTGGAAGGGGGTCAAACCTCGTGTGGCCTCGGGGATGGTGTCTGGATCAATGGTTTGCGCAGCAACAAGCGCAGCAGGAAGAGCAAGAAGAAGAATAGTTGAGAACTGCATAGTGGAATTACTGCATTCAAGGAATTGTCAAATCTTGCCCACCGAAATTCTCATTAGATAGGCAGTGCTTACCAATTAAACTGAGTGGTATCTCGAGCGCTTGAATACTGGTGTCGAAGTTGATGGTATAGGTATAACGAGTGACTCCTGGGCAAATCAATAAGTTATAGAGTGTGTGGACACCAAAAAAATCTCAATGGACAATGATCGAAGGAAGAATTTTAAGAGATTGAAAGAATGATGTGCAAGAAAGGGGATGAGGAGAAGTGAGACATTGCATAAATATAAAAGAATGTTGAAATTATCACCACCTTGATAAATTAGTTAACTGGTTAGTTAACTAACTAATGCTAAGTACTCAGGGGGTTGTCTTGAGAACCAACAAAAGCAAAAGTACTCCGTAAAACATTCCTAAATGTAGAGGGGAGAGGATTGTTTCATGGTCAAGCGCTCCATATTCATCTCAATTCATATGAAAATTGCACAAACCAACTACATAGCTAGTACCATTCAGGTAGTTATTCCAGAACACATTCCTGTTCTTCATAACTAGTTAGTTACTCAATATCATGAAACCTGTCAAACTGCGTTTTCAAACAAACCGTTAAACTAGTTAGTTAATCAACCCCAAACTCAAAATATCCATGAGCTTTAGCTACCCCATAGGGACCTGTCTCGATTTTGTATTTTTGCCCCTTGACCGCACCCTCGGTTTTTGATATGGATAATAATGTCAAACTATCCACACTTTTATATACCAGCTGCTGCCTTTCTAGCTGGTGCTATACTTGCAATCCACCTAAAGGCTGTTTATCACCATGTCTCAGGCTGCCAGGACCCAGTCAAAGACAACAAGGAACATGAATCTGGCAAAATATCGGGGAGTTCTTTGACCAGGCAACCACCTCCCATCGCGGATGGCATTGAAGGTTGCATTGGAAACACACCACTTCTTCGAATAAAATCTCTTTCCGAGGCAACTGGCTGCGAGATATTGGCAAAGGCTGAGGTTTGGTTTTTCTGAGGTTGGGTTCCGACAGTCAGTCTCTCTAATGGTATGTAGTTCTTAAATGGTGCCGGGGGGAGCCCCAAGGACCGCGTTGCTTTGAATATGATACAAATGGTATGTATCTATCCTGCATGTTAATTCCGAGCACTGTTAATGTTGGAACGGTAGGCGGAAAGACAAGGGCTCCTGATCCCATACTCTGGGGATGCAATATATGAAGGCACGGTAGGGTCTACTGGTATATCCCTTGCTACTCTGGCAAGGGCGAAAGGCTACCTAGCGCATATGTGTGTCTATCGTCTTTGAATTCATCGCTAGATCAAAGCCTCTGAATTCTTGCTGACGCTATTCCTAGCTGTATGCCCTCAGACCAGTCAGTGGAAAAGTCGGACTTGCTGTCAAAATTGGGCGCTGTCGTTGATAGAGTACCGCCAGCTCCAATTGTAGAGACAAACCATTTTGTTAACAGGGCCCGAAACCTGGCGACTGCTTTTTGTCCGGTGCGTGAAGTTGCCGCCTCTAGCTTGATGGTACCCACGGGATCGAATGCGTTCGACTATGACGGGGCGGCTTTGCCCGATACATCGAAGCGTGGGATTTTTACAGATCAATTTGAAAACCCTGCTAACTGGCAAGCCCACTTCCAATCTACCGGACCCGAAATCTTTGCCCAATGTGAAGGAAAATTGGACGCTTTTGTTTCAGGCGCTGGTACCGGGGGAACAATTTCTGGTGTGGCGCTTTATTTGAAGCCTCGTCTTCCCACCATGTCAGTTGTCCTTGCAGACCCCCAAGGAAGTGGCCTTTTTAACCGGATCCATTTTGGGGTTATGTTCAATACAAAGGAGCGAGAAGGGACAAGACGGAGGCGCCAGGTTGATACCATTGTTGAAGGAATAGGCATCAACCGGATAACTGCAAATTTTGAGGCAGGTCGGGAATTGATCGATGATGCTGTGAAGGTTACAGATGCACAAGCGATTGCTATGGCAAAGTGGTTGGTGGAGAAAGATGGTATATTTGTGGGGAGTAGCAGCGCTGTAAACTGTATGCTTCATACATTGCTTTTGTACATGTTGGCCGTCACCATTACTAATTATGAGAACAATTTAGGCTTTGCAGCAGTGAAAACTGCTCTCAAATTAGGCCCCGGTCATAGGATCGTGACCATTTTGTGCGATTCGGGAACCCGCCATTTGTCTAAATTTTGGGAGCATGCTGGTAGTGTGGGAAATGCTGTTGATACCAAGTTTACTGACGTTTTGACAGCAAGTTCAGCAACTAATGACCATTCAACGTCGAATTACGGCGAGAACAATTAAAATTCTCATACAACTACAATCGAGATGCATGTCCATCGGTTTCCATTTGCAAATGACCTTAGAATGGACTTAAGTGTGCTTTCATGGCTGGCCTCTCCAGCCACCTGCATCGAGCGCCTCGACGAGCGGATCTGGGCTTTCCGATCTCTTCCCTATAATACGTGAGTTGTTTGTAGCCACCTCGGCGAAATACCTCGCTTTCGAGGACGGCGGGTGATTGCCGGATTCCTTCGACACACAGTCATTTGCTTGTTTGTCAGTGACCTGGGCACTGGGAGCACTAGAGGGCCTGTTATTATGTCGGGAAGCCCGCATACGGTAGGTTTGAACCGACTCCCGTGGGATTCCTTTTGTGTTTTTGGATCTGATAGGTGACTGTATGACCCTACACGGTAGCTGAACGTGCTTCAAAGGTTGACTCTTTTCGCCGTCCCGGCTTTGAGTATCGGAATGTTGTTCACTTTCCATCTCCACGTAGTGTTTATAATACCAATGTTTTAGTTGTGTGGCGCTACGCCATGGGATTGCCGACAATACATCTGGCCATGATTTTCTTTCGACCATTCGTAGATGCACCAAGCGGTTGATTTCGTCTGGGCATAACGACCCAATTGCTCGTGGTTGCTTTGCTTGATCGAGAAACGGGCGGCTTCTGCCGAGCTTGTCCCCTCTTGTGTACACCTTTGAATTGGTATCTAAGTCATAAGGTGTGTTAGTTGAGGGCCGTTAGAACAAATCTTTAATATAAAGCAGAAGATGCACTCGGATCTCCAATGCGTTTGGTGAGATAGTAGGGCCTTATTTTCCTGATCATTGCAAAGTGGTGTGAGTGTGCAAGTAGGAAGGGGGTAAAGGAGCGGGATGTCATACTGGTTTGGAGGTAGTTATCCTGCAAAGGATCATCGGAGTCCGAATTCCCGTCTGCGTCGAACTGCGTAGCAGCATTCGCCTTTCTAACTTTGGCTCCAAGCATGTAATGCTGTTTATATGTTCTAGGGACGGCCCAGATTGACTTAACGGACCGAAATGATGCATGCCTTTGCCGCGAGGGCACAAGAGAGAAAGGTTTCCCCTCAATAGTCGTGACTATACTTTTGGGACTCTGTAATGTTTTCCGACTCTCTCTAACCTTGGGACAGGGTTGGTTGGGCAGGTAATCAAGCATTGGGTGATAGTGATTGCTCGGCTGGAAATCGAGGAGCTGCAGAAAGTGTGCGTTTTCTATGGAACACGAACGATTCTCGAACGTGTCTTTCAAATCCAAGTCCGCTCGCTGATGCACAGTCTGCAAAGTAGTTCTTGATCCGGTAACCGTGGCAGGTGTCTTAACATCTGTGCCTAGGTGTTTGGCTGAATGAAACTTATCGCAACCCAGCATTCCAACGTCATCCTCGGCTTCCATTTGGTGAAGATGCCCGTTATCAACCACAATCTGGCCTGTTTCCAAATCGATCTCGTCGCCCACATTGCGGAAATCCTTCCCGTACTTTTCACATATCGATTCAAAGCATGATTTAAGGCGCAAGTCATTTGCTTTCCGCGCCTCGTCAACATTTATATTGCGAGAAAATGGATTTATAGCACTAGAATGTCCAGTGGCAAAGTTCGTAGGGGTCATGTCGAATATCTATTATATGGACAAAATGTATGGCTTTGATAAAATGTGGGTAAAATATTAGGGGAAATTGTAAATTCTAAAATGAGACTCATCAAATAGGTCAATCTTTATAAATCATTGGCCAAGCTGCGACCGTTCATGACGAAGTTTTAAGTCTTTGTGTGTACAAGATTGATCAATTTCTTGAAGCTGGCTCGTCGTTGCAGTTACCCGCAGTCTGCCATGACTCTATATCACGTGATGTAGATTCTGAGAGTTAACCAACTGACTTTTAGGAGTTAGTTACCGACGGGCAGGAATATAGAGCAGTTGTGACAAACAACCTTCCAACAACAGAGCCCAAGAAGCATGCAAACTTGATAGTCTTATGAAATCTAGCCCTGAAAACTTGTCAATATGCCTCAAGCGCAACCTGAGCTGAAGAAGGTAAATAATTACTACCAGTCCCATTTCCGATACAGATCAGCTGATTGCTAATTTGGGGATCCAGTACATGGAAAAGCGCTTGTTCATCCAGATTAATGGGAATCGGAAAGTCATTGGCGTCCTTCGTGGTTATGATGTTTGTCATTACCCTTCCTCCACTTGCAGCGAGCTATATTCCATGCCTCTGACTCCGATTCAGGTGTTCATGAACATAGTGTTGGATGAAGCAGTTGAGGAAAAAGCTGGTGGGGAAAAAGTGCGTTTGGGAATGGTGGTAAGGCTTAATTTGAAACGGATCTTGTATGATTGACTGACAAGGCGCAGGTAATTCGCGGTAACTCGGCTGTCATGCTTGAAGTATCCCTCTCCCTGCACGAAATACGTGGACTTCGAAGGCTAATAAACATCACAGGCCCTTGAGCGTATCGCAGACCGATGACCCATACGTTTCGGCAACAACGAGGATATCACTATTTCAGCCATGGAAAATCATAGAGTTGGCGGGCAATTCTATTCAAGCGCTTAGCCATTAGGGTGTCTCAATGCACAGTTGTTTGGTTTTTTAATAATCCGGCGGTTCTATGGATCATTCAAAGTAATACGGCGGAAAGCCAGGTCCCCTTCGCCTATGCTGCCAGTCACCTTTCTCAAACCGCAATTACTGCTACATAGATTTAACCAGCGCGAACCCTGCTGTGCAGAGATGTCCAGAAACAAGCTATTAAGAAGATGTGGGATCGGGCGGCGCTCTGAGTTTAATTTTCAATTTCGGCGCTATCGGCGGAGGCGAACGATTTGAGGGTGAAGATAGGAACGCAAGCTTTGGCACTTTTAGGGTTATCTTTCGACTCAGAGGAGTCGTGTTTCGATCTTCCCGTTTCCTCTTTTCGAGTACCTGAAAACCCTTACCCGAAGTAGATTTTGCTATAATGCTCGTTCGGTAGCGGTCCGATTTTGAGAATTTAACCTTTCCCTAAAAGTTCAATTGTTAGCTTTGGATCATTTGGCATTCGATTTGGGTTATTATCCCGTACGCTTCCTAGATGCTCGGCCTTCCAGTATTTTGGATATTTTAAAGTGACGATCATTTGGTTGACTGGTTTGTAAAGAATTGTACAAAGATACAGGAAGTCATTTAGCTCAACGAGTCCAATACAAGGGGAATTGCATCCGGCCCACACGGCTTCTTTCAAAACCATGTTGTCTGAAAGTTCTTGCCTCAAAGCTTCGATTGCGCCAGGAACGGTCTGTTTGCGTTCAAGCTTCACTCTTCGAGTATCGGTAGTAGATTCTTGCTCGACGACGAGAAGGCCACTGGGAGATGTTTCAGCAAATTTATCATCTTCGCCAAAAGCGACAGATGCAAGGACTATGCCAAACGCCCGATGAAGCTGTCGGCGCATCCACGTTGACGCATCCATCGACATAGTATAGACAAACCATTTCAAAATTTCTGGACGTTGGAAAATATCTAGATCTAGTAGGATCCGGAACGCATCGAGTCGAAGCAAATCGAAGGTACCGACGCGGGCATATGGTAGGAATTGGGCGACGTCAACGTCAAGAACTTTCCCCTTCATGAGACGCCTCTGACAATCAATTGCCGTTCGTGAGTATAGATTCTGAAATGAACTCGTCCACTCGTCCATTCTTTTGTACCGGTCAATCTCTGCTATGCAATCCAAGTAAAGTTGGTTCTCTGCTTGACGGCCCAACTCTCTGTTTATATCAAAATCAACCCCGTCGGAATTTTCTTTGCCATTGATTAAAGCATCTGTAATAGAGCGTATGAGCGCAGCGACGTAATAACAATCAGAAAACTGTGGCAGCATTAGCTCGCAATCATTTGTATGGCTACCTAATGATAGTGGTACCTTATTGTTTGAATTGTCGTTGAATTTCAGTTTTTCATAAAGAAACTTCTTTACCCTCATGGGGCTTTGACCATGTCGGTTTCTCACTTTAGCCATGGCTTCCGGTATTGCTTTCTGAAGGCAATAGGACGCCCGGTCTGAAAAGTCGTTCGAACGACTCATAGGTGAGTTTGGTAGGCAAAACAGCTCTTGAAAAGCAGTCTCGAGATGGAATAGTCCAATCCAGTGCACCTCCTCTTTCGCGTGTTTCACCAAGGCGTGAGCGGCAGCTGACCGAATGCCGTAGAAATATCTCTTATCCATCAGGGTTCGGACGAAAATTGTGGATATTAGTGGATGTTCTCGCTGGGCGACCATGTATTGTATTGACTGTGTTCAATTAGTTTCGGCCGCTATACTAGAATTTGATAAGAGAATTACCTCAAGTTGTGCGACAACGTCTCGGTCTTGCTGGAGCTGAGAAAGGTACATATAACCTGGCATTGTGAGGGACATTTTGCATATCCATTCAAAATCTGCATCCATGCGAATCCATTCATAGGACTCTTGCCCCATTCTGTCCTCATCTTCTTTCGTCCATTCTACTAGTCGCCATTTCCGCATTTCCTCCTCAGACTGGAGAACATCACCCAAACAATACAACAGAACATCGTCCTGGATTTCAGTGTTAGGGTCAAATCCTGAAGATGCTGCGGCCCGCTCTTTCTGGCGTTTGTTGCGCTTGAGGCGTTTGTATTTTGTATTGTACGGGATATCAAATTTCGTGACAGCTTCCTTAATCTCAACGATGTGTTCATACGGAGTGCCATCCGCTTCATGAATCCGGATCGTCATCGATCCAGTGAAGACATGTTGCAGGGGTCCAGCGTAAATATTTTGGAGCTCTTCTTTCACGTCCCTCAAGAACGTAGACGCGTCGAGATCGCGAGGATTCAATTGCTCTGGCTGCACTTGTCGAATCATCATTTCTACAACGAGTTTCTTTTTGTTGAACCTCTGGGTAGCCACAAAACGGGGACATCCCGCACCATATACCCATTGTTGGAAGAAAGGGTCGAGCTTGACGTGCCCGAACCTCTCGCACAACTTTTGGAAAAAGGCAGTGGTTAATGCGCTATTGGGGGATATCACCCATCCGCGAATTCAAGAAAATACGGGAAATAATTCGAGAAATAGTGGCTTTGCCGCTTGCTTTCGACAGTCGGCGTTCTAGGATATAAAGTATAAGGGGTGCTTTTAGGGAAAGGAATTCCAGTTCTGACGGATCCAATTTGAGAAGTGTGCCCATTTCCCAGATCGACGGCCGAGCAATATCCAGATCGCAAACTTTGTCTGATGCTTGTTTGAGCCGGAACCTAAACTCGTTATTTCCACATAATTTTTTCATGAAAGTATCCGTTATGTAGTATGACACCCCGATTATAACCCAATTATCCGTTGGCTCTTTCGGGATTACGTTGACCCCGATCCATTGGGAAGCTAACGCGTGAACGAGACACCGAGTAGAATCATATAATGGATCAAGTATATCGTCAGGGTAGAGCAAGCGGTTGCTGCACAAAGATAAAGCAGCAAAAGGAGAGGTATCCCAAGCAGAATTGTCCACGAAGCACACTTTATAACTCGAAAAAGGATACGAGCCATAATTTAAAGAGATGAAATCAATGGCCTTTGCGGTCGGAAAACAGGTATTCCGCACTTCATCTGCCCGTCCAGGGAGGCAAAATGCATGTACTGGAATCGCATTCTGACCAAGTTGCTCATCTTCATCGCTTTCACGAAATTGGGTAAGGTTGACATATTCAAAAGGCCCAATTGCGAACCCGACTTGCTGAGCGGACAATGGCGTGCCGCAATAGAACGAGACTAGTTTTTTGGTTGGATCATTCACGTCAACTATTTCGTCTGTCATGTCCCCAGAGCAAGCAACGACCATGTCCAATGACTCATCGTCAAGACTTACTGCCCTTCCAGATAGCTGCATTTTACCATGAATGGCATCACCTAGGGTTCGCGGGCAACGTATCGAGAATTCCCATGTGCAACGTGATGATAAGTCTTGAATGCAGGGAAATAGACAACAGCCATCACCAGTGATGGCAGTGGTTGTCGTAAAAGCATGTGGATAATGATGGTCCCAGCTTTCCACCCCAACAAATTGTATTCCATCCCTGGGGCGGTCTATAATAAATTCTGCTCTGACCGTAATCGAAGTGAACCGGGGAGCTGAAGTGTCTGATTGCTTTGTACCAATCTGAATGTCCGTTGGCTCATCATTATTCCCGCCAACTCGCAATGAAATTTGAGTCTGCGCCTCCAAGGACAACGGGTCAAGCTCTTCGATTCGGACAGATTTAGGTATGATAGCAATAAGTTCGGGTTCCGGGGAAGCTGACAACAGCGGATCAACCTTCGAGGCTAACTTGTGGTATTGATGAACACCATAAAGCTGAAAGGTGCGATACGGGTCATTATATTTCACCGTCGCTGGTCTGCCGTTGATGCTTAGCCGGTTCAGCTCACCCTGGCGGAAATTCAAGCGGATTGCCTTTAAATCCTTTTGGAGAGGGTGAATCACGATTTCTGTCTTGCCTTTTATTGCTTGATTCTCGAAGTCGACCTCGAGCTCAACGCTTTGATGAGCAATCGCATATCCTAAACCGGGGCCTGCCGCGGGGGAAGCTTCAACGATGCCAGGCATACTTCCGCACTATTTGAAGGAGTTTTAGAAGGTTTATACAAGAGAACATTCATGGCCCTAGGCACGGATTGGATCTTGCCACGGGTTGACAGGGAAGAAGGTAGGGAGGGTGCAAAATATAACAGTGCTTGCAAAATCCAAACAATTTAAAAATTGGATTTTTTGTGAACAAGATTAAGATAATTATGTATGTAGCTCAGCCGGCTGATAGTGTTCATTGAAAGATGATGTTGCTGATTGAGCTGTTGTTCAAAGCCTTCAACACCACAGTGCTTGAATGCTTCATAGTGAGCTAGCTAACTTAATGAGGAAAGAGGAAGCCGGTAACTTTTAAATTTCACCCATATGGCTGGTTAGTTAGTTTCAATAGCTCATTAACTTGCTAATTATCAGTTAACTAACTAGCTAATGGCTGAGCTTAACAAGGAGTTCAGCCAGTAAGCTGGTCAGGTGACCTGGCTGTTTCGGTGCCAACTCCGGCATTGATTGAATTGGCCCCCTTTTAGGGATAATATATGATAGAAATCCAGGACTTCACTTCTCTTGCCCCAATTCACTCATTTTTTCTCTTTGTGCTCTTTTTTTTCTACATGCTTAGTTATGAGATGCATCCTTAGTTGAACAACAATAATAATAATATCAATAAAAAGGCCTGTCGGCAACGCACTACATCCATCATGAACCTCCTCAAAAGAATAACCAGTGAGTTCTCTTGCCTTTGACTACACGGACAACGCCCCCGTCAGACCCTTCATGTACTAACACTATTGAAGGATTTCCAGATTCTTTGTCGGATGAGACGTTGGCTCCTTTGAAAACTTATAAGTATTCCAGTATTGACAAATCATTCACTTCTCGGTATATATTGAAGCACTACGTAGCTAAGCCCTCTTTCCTTATATATACCTAAATTTCCTCAAGTATCTTGCTAATGGTACATGAAACTAGTGGAATGCCTTTGTGGAACTACTGCCTTTGTGGCTCGCGCCAAATATGGTTACCCTGATTGGTTTTTTGTTCATCATTGGGAATTTGATAGTGCTTGAAGTCTTTGTCCCAGATTTGGTTGGACCGGTATGTACTCCATCATCCTGCTTCTATGACCTTTTCTTTTTGCAAACATTGTGTCGGGTACTGATTTCAAATTGTTTTAAATTAGGCACCGTCGTGGGTATACTACAGTTTTGCATTCGGACTCTGGATGTAAGGCTCAGTTCAATAACTAACTCTCCTGCTACGACCGGCCTTTCTAATCCACGTAGGTACTCGACGATGGATAATGTAGACGGCAAACAAGCGAGGAGAACGGGCACTTCCAGTGGGCTCGGAGAACTTTTCGAGTATGTGCTGTCGAAGTCTTTTTTATCCGACCATGGGAAACTAACGTGATGTTTCCCAAGTCACGGAATCGACTCTTTGAACTGTACTTTAGCCAGTCTCTTGGAAGCCGCAGCGATGGGCCAAGGATCGTCAAAGATCGGTGCTTTCACCGCTTTGATTCCCTGCTTACCCATGTTTTTTTCGACATGGGAAACATATCACACCCATACCTTATATTTGGGCTATTTCAATGGCCCAACCGAAGGCTTGATTATCGGAACCTTGATCATGGTCGCGGCAGGCTTCTATGGCCCAGAGATCTATTCAAGCTCCTTATCTGATCGTTTCGGCTATCGGGAGATTTTCGGCGATTACACCTTCTTAGATCTCTGGGTTGTGGTGCTCCTGGTGTCATTTTCGATAGCGCACCTTCCTGCTTGCGTTTATAATGTAGTTCGATCTCGCAAACGGAAGGACTTGCCTATATTCCCTGTTTTCCTGGAATGGACCCCGATTGTTGTCTCATCCGTATCAACTATCGCTTGGCTATATTCGCCGCACTCGACCCTGCTGAAAGAAAACCACCTTGTCCTTTTCGCGGTGACATTGTCTTTCGTTTTCGGCCGTATGACAACGAAAATAATACTGGCACACTTGACACGCCAACCCTTTCCCTTTTGGACAACGCTCATGACTCCACTACTAGGAGGGGCTGTACTCGGGAATTTACCTAGGCTCGGCCTGCCCATGGTGAATAAAAATTTTGAGCTGTGGTATTTACGTGCATATTTGGTGTTTGCCTTTGTCACCTACATGCAGTGGGCCTTCTTTGTTATTAATCGAATCACCACTTTCCTGGGTATCAACTGCTTGACAATCAAGCACAATGTGGCTGTACCACAGACTATCTATCAACAACTCAGTGAAGAACCAAGTGGTGTTATGGATGATCAATTAGACCTGGAAAGTGGCAGGTTAAAGAATCATTAGCTTAGTTCGCAATACTTTGAAATTGAAGATACGTGGCGTATAGTTTGAAAATGGCCTGGCTTCGCAAGCGCAGCATCGAGCCCAATTACACCTTTAAATAATCTACGATTTCAGGGTTTACAGTTATTGGTGCACCGTACTCCGTATACTCTCTTAAAATCCAGCTTCCCTTGATAGAAGTACTTTAATGTAGAAGATTCAAAGTAAATAATGTGACTCCTATTCAAATCATCTTCCATATGGGAATGACGGATGTTTTGGATACCAAAGGTTCAAATTATAGCGTATTTCCATCGTTGCTAGACACGCGATGGTGGAAAAACTGTAACTTTACAGTGGAAAGTCCATTTTTCGGTATCTCAAAATATTCCCAATTCCCATATGGCTTTATATTTATCCACCTTATACTGAGATGTGGGAGCAAGTCTTGCTGGGAGTTTTTAGGTATGAACAAAGGGAATGTCGAGTATTTGATTCCCAAGTTTAAGTTTAACAGCCGAAAAACAAGTCTTGATCTGATGCAGATGCACCGAGCAAATATCTTTGAGTAGTTTCGTAGCTCCAGGTGACGGCTCAACAAGGGTCCATGCAATGGAAATGTGAAAATTATATGAGCACCCTCCTGTGGTTGAAGAATGACTCTCATCCTTCTCTTGAATTCTGCTTTGCATCTGTTTGGGGGTTTCGTATAGGGGAGGCTGCTGAAAAGCTGAAAGGGTATCATTTGATATGTATAACAAGTGGCTCAGAATGCTGCTCGGGAAGCAACTAACACGCAGTACTAGAAACCATCTTGTCTTTTCATAATTCGATTCCCAAGCCAGCTCCTCAATATGGACATAGAATCTTGGTAATAGTTAGCTGTATCAGCTGAAAGCACCAGCAGTTATAGCTTCAACTTACGGTTTGATACCAGAATGAACAATTTTATGTGCAAAAATGTCACTAAAAGCCAGGCGTTCGTCATTTTTCAAAGTTACAGAATGTGACAGACTAATATGAAGTGGTAATTGCACGCCGAGGTTGCTGTGAAGGAGGCTGTGAACTTTCATTTGACTTTGGAGTTGATTTTGGCATTGAGAAATGACAGCAGAAAGTTCCTTTAACTCTGCATCTGCTGGATACCCTATCAAAACTGGTGAGCTAAGGCAGCTCTTCTAGAAAAATAAATAAATAAACAAGATAAAGCAAAATGAAAAGCGAGCAAGGTAACCCACATTCAAGATAGATATGGGTTGGCCAGTTACCAACAATGTGCGGGGTCGACCTCAGTCTGCCTTCATGAATATCAGGATCATCTTGAATGCTTGCTCGAGTGGAAGCAGTATATAAATTATGGAAATTTGTGGGCAACGGCGGTAAGGTTGAGGTAATTCTGGAGCTTCTGGGCCAGGTGTTGAGTTCGCAAGGAATCGTTGAGTCACTGTCAGACTCAGACTCCGAGTCTGAATATTGAACAATAGCCATAGAGAAGCTCAATCTTCCCAAACTGGGCTCTTGTACCAATATAAGTGATATTAGGAAGCACTGATATTGATCGATAGGTACCTATTCCATAAGTTAGCTCCTAGCTCCATAGGTAGTTTACTAAGTTTAGTCTGTATGGAGGTACTCTATGTATGTACGTACAACATGTCCGCATCCTGGTCAAATATTGTTGATGCCAAAAGGTGGGTTGAAACAAGCAGATAACGCAGGTAGTTAATTGTAAGTACTTAGGGGCTAAGCCTGATAAAGCTAGCTGTTTACTAAAAATGGCTGAGGAGGTGTTCCGCTCTGCCCTTGTACAGCCCTGTCCAGGCAGGCCAGGACCCATGTCTTCACGGTCGATCTGCTTACATGTTATGCCTTTGTAGCCCAGATTATTAGATGATGCGATAGTCACCCGATTTCTCTGTTCAATATATAATTAGCATTTTCTATTCCTGGCTGTGATGTTTGTAAAAACATTTAAACCAGTCAAACCAATGCAATGATCTTGACAGATACTAGATAATCATCTCTGTCAAATCCGAGTCATCACAGCATTTTAATATCTAAGCCAGAAGAGTGGGATTGCCACCATGAAGGCAATAGCCACATAAGCCAGGCGACGGAAATTTCAAGATGAAACCAACTCGGCATCTGGCAGAATCCTTCCTTATGCTTCCTTATACTGTAACCATAACACTGGCATTTTTGTACCAAGTTAGGAGCAGGTTTTCACCGCTTTTTGCACGTGTATCTTCCACAAATGCCCATCGTTTCATAAAATCTTCATGAGTGGACAGCCGGGTCAACTTTCCGGTGATAGCCCGGTACATGTCCTCAATTACGCCAAAATTGGTTGGGAAAAAGATATCAAAGTACCCTTGATGGACCTAGGCGATCATTCAGTGGATAACCGTCAACCGAGCGAAATCGAAGTCTACGATGGGAAGAAGTAACAGGGATAACTTACATAAGGAGTGGAAACTTGAACTGTTCTTCGTCGATACCGTGTTTGTACAACAGGCGCATTATAACCGGGAACTGTATCTGGAAGGTTATCAAAGTCGCTGGCGACAAGGCGATGGGCAGGAAAGTAGTCGTGTAATATAAAGAAAAATTCCATTAATTTTGTGGGTATGTACTCTGGTGATGTCATGTTTGCCGCGAATGGGAAAGAAAGTTGAACGTTCCTCCAAAAGCGAGAATGCAGTGGTATGGGAAACGGACGACGTGCTGCTGCTTGTCTAACTCGAAGGAAGCGTGAGGCAGAACGGTCCAAATCGGTGACATAGTACTCATAAAATTCACCGTCAGTATCAATCAGAACACATCCTTGTCGAGGTAGACCCGTTTGCATATCGTATCGAATGGCATCGTGCGCAAAATTATCAAAAACCTCAAGGGCCAAGAAAAAGCACGGCGAATGAACATAGGTGTTCCACTCAAATATGGACCGATTTATCACTTCAACATGGCCACGATGGCCGTCGCCATATATAGAGTTATTCAGAGTCATTTGTTGCGTATTAGCGAGTTGGGAGGAAATCTCAATGATCTTGAACTTGGTTCGTTGGTAGACCTCGGGGTCCACCTCCCGGATGTAATCAAGAATATTAAGCATCAATGTGCCATTGCCTGCCCCCATTTCATATATGATCAAATCATGATATGGGAACAGAGTCAACCGATAATTGGTAACAAGATAGCGAGCAATGGCTTCCCCATAATAAGGACGAAAGAGCTCTGTCGGTGTATGCCAAAGTTGACGTGTTTCATTTGGCGAAACCGCGTCCAATTTATCTTCAAATTCCGCATATCGTTGATCGACCAGTCGGTTAAAAGCTGGGCCATCTTCAATATTATTAAAATCAAAAGGTTCCCCAGGACTGAATATTGTAGCATGTTTTGAGAAATAGCCATAATGAGGGTTATAGAGACTATCTATCAAGGGCATTAGCTTGGGAATATAGATTGAATGTATGATTTATCGTGCCTTCAATGAAATCTCTTGTGAGCATTTTCACCCCTTGTGGTCGTTCCCGTCTTGACCGGAGTTCAGCGGCAGAGACCATCGGGTACTCAGCCAAGGCCTTCGATATGTCTTTGGGGAAGTGATCTGTTCGGTGTCGCCATAGGGTTCTATGGTCCGATTTTCGTCTCGTGAGTGCTTTTTGCGAGGCTGGTCGGCGTTGCGACGCCCCAAAGGCGCAGAACAGAGCTCTGGTGCTTAAAAGCTTAGAAGACTGGCCCCGGACAAGCCGGCGAACGAGCTCCGTCGTATGGAGCGGGTCCATTAAATGGGAGTATCAAATGAATTGCTTGCTGCTGGATGTATATTCATCAGTATTGAGGATTGCTGCGACTGTACTCCATCAGATTATTAACCCCAGTTTATTTGTGTTGACCACAATTTGCAATGTGACGAACTTATTAGTTAGTTAGTTTGTTAATAAACTCAAATTTTGGCGGTCTAACTAAAATCAGCTAGTTAACCCATTAATGTAGTTTTTGATTCCTTCATATACGGAGTACTCTGTACAGAAACGTGTAACTATCCACAGGGCTACCAAATTATATTTATGCTATATAGTTGCATGCAAAGAACCCCTAATGTCCTTGTATGACAGATATCCATGGTCACAGAGTACAGAGTACTCCATACTCATATGGCCTTAGCTTGTTAGTCACATGCAACTTATATAAGCAACTACCACACTTGCCTCTGGAGTACTCCGTAATACCGTTGATGAGCAGGGGCTGTTAACGGAGAGCTGTGGCGTCACTGCGGCCAGAAAATACCCATATGAGCTTTGCCTTTCGGTGAGGACACGTCTCATTTTCCCACGAATCTGGAGAGATTTACCATTCCTTTATCAGCCAGTATTTATTGAAATGGGTGAAGTGAAGCTTAACGTCCTCCAGACTCTGGATTTGCCAGTATTCTAGACATTCAACTTTGTTGTCGTTTCCCAAAGGTGTCCTTAGTTTAGGAATGCCATATTTCTGAGTTGATTATATAGGATCCTTTCTCTCGTCTTGTCCCATTTCCGGCAATGGGGGTAGCAGCTAAACTATTTTACCTAGCGGTGTTTTCTTTACTTAACCCGAGCTATGGAGAGCATCATACTGTTGGATCTCGGTCCAGGTCTCCCGAAGATTGCGTATGTTCCCCCCTATTTGCGTACTGCGGCATTCATTTAACACACTTCAGATCAATTCGAAATCCGTTGTTTCCGATACATGCGCGTCATTTGCAACTGTGAATTCCGTCAACAATAAAATCGCACCATTGTTGAATTCGATTACTCAAGATACCGATTTTTTTTCATACTATCGCCTGAATCTATACAACAAACAATGCCCCTTTTGGTCCGATGACCAGGGTATGTGTGGCAATATAGCCTGTGCCGTTAGTACATTGGATTCCGAAGACGACATCCCCCTTATTTGGAGAGCGGAGGCTCTAAGCAAGCTCGAAGGCCCGAAAGCTGGTCATCCAGGGAAACAGCAGCGGCGAGAGAGACCAGTGAAAAAACCACTACAAGGAATGCTAGGAGACAATGTTGGCGAATCCTGTGTGTTCGAATATGATGATGAATGCGACGAGAGAGACTACTGTGTCCCTGAAGATGAAGGGGCCACTGCGAAGGGCGACTATGTTAGTTTAGTTGACAACCCTGAACGATTCACTGGCTATTCCGGCCGAGCGGCCTGGCAAGTCTGGGATGCAATTTACCGGGAAAATTGCTTTCTTAAACCTGCTCAGCAATCATTCTCTCCACGAAACGGGTTGAAACCCCAGGGATTTCAGGCCGCCCAGGATTTTCGGAATGTACTGGAGAAACATGAAAGGGGAAAGGTCGTAAGCGCTGCCCTTCGCAATGAAGGGTACCCAGTGGATGATGAGTGCTTAGAGAAGCGAGTCTTCTATCGCTTGATAAGCGGAATGCACGCGTCGATTTCAACCCACCTTTGCTGGGATTATTTCAATCAGACCACAGGAGAGTGGTTGCCAAACCTACAGTGCTACAAGCAGAGGCTTCACATACACCCGGAGCGCATATCCAATCTTTATTTCAACTTTGCCCTTTTATCCCGTGCTGTAGCTAAGTTACAGTATCACTTGCAAAATTTCTCTTTTTGTGTCGGGGATCCCGAACAAGACCACGAGACGAAACGGCGGGTCTCCCAGTTGACCAGTACTCTAGCATCTGAGCCTCGGATTTTTGATGAAAGCATCATGTTTCAAGATTACGGCGGAATTGATTTAAAAGAGGATTTCCGTAATCGATTTCGAAACGTCAGCCGGCTCATGGACTGCATTGGCTGCGACAAGTGCCGACTTTGGGGAAAGCTCCAGACTGCTGGATATGGAGCAGCGCTGAAGGTTCTGTTCGAGTTTGATGGATCCGAGAGCAAAAGTGATCCACTGCTTCGGAGAACAGAACTCGTTGCTTTGATTAATACGCTTGGGAGAGTCTCGCACAGCGTATCGACGATTCAAAATTTCGAAAAGGCTTTAGCACTTGGGAGAGACGGATTAGACAAACAGTCAGCCGTTCCCATCCCCCCCCAACGGCGGGAAACGGGTCACCTTTTCGAAACCACTAAATCTACAGGCGAGAAGAAAGAGGGTGATCATTCTTCTGCTGATAGTTCACATTCCCAACGAGAAAATCCTAAAACTGGGAAAAGTATATCTGAAGAGATTCGCGATGAATGGCATCTCGTGTGGGATACTTACGTCTATGTGCTTCGGAGCTGGGCCAGCGTGCCGAGAGCGGGGTGAGTGTATTGACTTGTTTCATGCTTAATTCTAGGACATTTTAGGCCCAAGAAGAATGGATTCGCTGACAATGATTGGCTGCGGTAGGTATTATCTCTTGACCACAGAGCTCAACCGCGCATGGAATTACTGGCTTGGGAAGCCTGTTCCTCCTCGGTCGTGGAAAATCATATTCCCTAGCAGGGATGAGTTATAAAAGGTCCGCCACAGATTCAATATGAAAACACTCTCAGTCCTCATCATGGGATACGATAATAGCAGCTACACATGGTCTCGTCCTTCCGTATTTCCATAAGCGTCTGCGACCCGGGATTCTTTTATGGCTGCAAGCCACCACAGATGGAGCTTTAATTATCTGCATGGGAACCTTTCCATGAATCTCGGAAAGAACGGGACATATCTCTCCTTCGAGTCTTGCGAGAAGCTAAGTAGATTTAACTAGGGGCCCAATGAACAGATACTTGTCGAAACTGAAGGACCAGAGTAGCAGGCTGTGATGTCGCCGAGATTTTTCGAAGCCAGTGGCCACCAATTGACATAGATATTGTATACAAGAGATTCATCATGCATCATGTATTTAATTTAGCCCTTCTGTTGCGAAGACTTGCCACTGTTCATCAATCTACTTTGTACTCTGCACTCGAAACCCCGAGTTAGTCGACTTTTAGAGTTAACTAGATTCGCCGTGCTCACGGGCTTCATCCTCGGCTGAACCAACAGGTTTTCCGAGCATTTCGCCTCCCCTGCCATGTCAAGCCATAGATCTCAGCAGAGGGACGCAGACTACAGAGAATTTCATACCTTAGAACATGCTGAAAGACTGGTGTTCTTGATAGTTTTATCATTGATATATTTTCAGAGGACCGAGTCAAAACGTCTGAGCCAGCCCTGTTTCGACCGAGGTAACTAGTTAACTAGTTACTGAGTACGCTTGGACACGCTGAAGGCACAACAACCTCTTCTTCATCTTCGCGCAATTTCCCAGTCATCCTGCTCTTCACAGTTACAGGTTAAGCGGCCTTTGGTTTCTCTATGGCGTCTGTGTCCCCACCAAAGCCATGGGAACGGCCGAATGCTGTTGCTTCTGCTGGTCAGTACGTTCTTGAAACCGTCTTGTGATTGCTATGCGCTTACAACATGGCTTTAGGCACCTCTTTGGCAACAGCAAGTGCCTCAACAAATCCCTCCCCTTCCAATAACACACAAAACATGACCGCAGCTACATCTTCCTTAACATCTCAACCTCCAACTCTTCCCTCACGACCTACTACTTTGGGTTCTGTGGTCAACCAAACTGCATCCAACTATTCGCCTTATGGAGCATCAAGACTGGGAGCAAGTCCTTATGGTGGATATGGTTATAATTCGTATTCTTCACCATATTCGCGACTTGGAGGAGGCATGTATGGCGGATACGGAAGCATGTATGGGGGCTATGGCGGAATGTACGGAGGGATGCCCAATGGAGACCCGAACAGTCTGACAAATTCCTTCAACCAAAGTACTCAGGCGACATTCCAGATGATTGAAAGTATCGTTGGAGCTTTCGGCGGGTTTGCGCAAATGTTGGAAAGCACTTATATGGCAACTCATAGTTCATTCTTTGGTTCGAAATGAGTTCCCTCTCCCTTGTTCAACTTACTGGGTTCGTGCTAACCGCGCTTTTCTTCGTCTAGCTATGGTATCCGTTGCAGAGCAATTTGGGAATCTGCGCAACACGCTAGGCTCTGTGTTGGGAATCTTCACTATCCTACGATGGTTTAGAACTTTATTCGCTAAAATTACAGGCCGTCCACTGCCTGCGAACGCCACTTCCTTGACACCTTCTGCTTTCTCAGCGTTTTTAGGCAAAGACGGCTCTTCGACGCCCGCTCGGGACGGCTCTCAATCGCCGCTACGCCCTTCGAAAAAGCCTTTCTTCTTCTTTCTTGCAGCCGTTTTTGGTCTGCCTTACCTGATGGGCAAGCTTATCCGTGCTCTCGCGCGCTCTCAAGAAGTAGAACTTAAACGACAACAAGAAATGATGTTGGCTGGAGGTCATCAAACCGGCCCCGTCGATCCCTCGAAACTTGATTTTTGCCGTGTTCTTTACGATTATACCCCGGATACCCAAGCTGCCACAGGTATTGATTTGGCTGTGAAGAAGGGTGATATTGTTGCGGTTATTTCTAGGGTAGACCCGATGGGCAACCCCTCTGAATGGTGGCGATGCCGCGCTAGAGACGGGTCTGTTGGATATTTACCTGGGCCCTATCTGCAAACAATTCAACGGAAGCCACAACAACATATGCTAACGGCGAATGGCGACTCGATTCCATCAACCACCCGAACGAAATCTCTCACACATGAAGAGAAGACAGGTGCTAGCCCTTCTAATGGGGATAGTGGACAATCAACAACTGGAAGTTCCGATAAGCTCGAGTCTAAAGATAAGATAGGCAATAAGCTCCTCGATGGATTCCCAAAGAAATCATTGGATCCCTAGCGGTATTGTTGAGGGATCCAAAGGAGCAGGTCTACATACTTATTCCGGACAAGATACTCTATACTCGGCATTTTCATTTCCATTTCTTGCTTGCGATACGCTCTAATCAAAATACGCCGTATCCTTGTTTCTATTAGTGCCCTTTTTAAGCTCTTTATATATTAGTCGGAGTATGATTTACGAAACGTGGGAAGCAAGCTTTGATTACATACACGAAGTAGATAGTTACATGAAACCAAGTGTTTTGGCCATTCGGCGGTATATATTGTGTTGCTACGGAGTACAACAGACAATCTTCAAATCTTGTGCATGTACATGAGCTTTGAGCGTCATCATTAAAATAAAAGTACATAATTACCAAAGAAGGACACAATAGTTATAACTATACAGTGATATGATCAGAAGGAAAAGAAAACCAGAAACTCAAAAAGGCGTACATATCAATTCTTAAACATACGCCTCGACAAATTCGAAAACAAAATTTCATGGGGAACTTTTATGACATTAGTTCATCAATATTTATTTCATCCTCTATCTCATTGGAATTTCCGAGAATGGGAACGGCAGCAGTGCCAATCAACCCCGGGGCAGCAGAGGCTGGATCCCAAGGCCCCTTTTCCTCAGCGGTTGCGTTTAGCACCCCTTCAGCTCGTTTTAGGGTTTCGACGTCCAAGTCGGTCACATAAGCCTCTCGTCCCATTCCATCGCCACCTGGCAGGTTCAAGCGGACTTCAAATTCGTTGTCCAGCATCATTTCGTCCTTCCACAGCCGGCGTGGGCCATCGTACAGGCAGAGTAATCGTCGTTTCATTTTCATTTTGTTAGCCGGACATCCCCAAGAAGGCGGATAATTGTTTCTATTGTTGCGCCTTCTTGAAACCGAGGGCCGGGGCTTTGAAATCCCCCCAAAATTCGAAGGTAGGAATCTATTCGACGGGTTTGATTTGGCCGCTGCTTTGCCAGAATAGCTTTCGAGCGGGAGCCTATTCCTTTCGTCGTCCTCGGCGTCGTGCTCACCAAGTGGGTTATTCGTGGAATCCGGAGCCGAGCCAACAAGCATATGCCTTTTCATGGTTTGCTTGACAGCCTCGTCAGATGCCACCTCCGCAAGGCGTCTCATATTGATAGCTTCACTAGGTTCTTCCTGTTGTACTACCCGCAAAACACAATCGTCCAAATGCTCATAGAACTCCTGTGCACTTGAAAACGTAGCTGTGCATGTCGAGCATTTTCCCGTCGCATCCTGACAATAACCTGATGACTTGCCAGCGGGGGTGGGAGGGGTCTTCTTCCGGCCATTAGGAGCGGACTGGTCCACTCCATGAACGGAAGTAAGGTGACGCTTGAAAACATCTGCTCTATTAAAGCTTTTCTCCGCAGCTGAGCCGGATCCAGGACAGAAACCACAGACCATGGTTCCCTTGTAATGAGTCAAAGTATGACGGTTCTTGTCGTACTTGCGCGCGAATCCTTTCAAGTGGTACTCACAGTTGACGATTGGGCATTTTTCCGGACGCTCTGACTGATGGGTCAGCATGTGGGCCTTGAGGTCTTTGAACACTTTGCCGCAGTTTGGATGAGGGCAGCGTCCCTTTTCTCTTCCTTCGTCCTCAACTTCAATAGTGCTTGATTGCGGACTAGGAACAGACGGGCGGGAGCGCTCAGAGGAAACCGACGATCTTCTAGTAAATGGTCGGGCTTCTTGTGGGGGATTTTGCAGCCCTATAGGAGGCGAAAACTCCATTTTTCTTTTCTGGCTATTCTGGTATTGGAGATCTGGTTGCCCATGGTTGCCAAGTCGGAATTGGCCAGATCGCTGAGTACGGAGTGTAGGAGAAGGAACAGGAGAAATGGAAGGAAACGCAGAAGCGGCGAAGCAATATTGCAGGTCATCTGGATATGAAATGACCGGGAGTTGGTAGTTGTTAGGTAGCTGGGCAGACTGTATTAATGATGGATCTGGGTGAAGGAGCAAAAAGTCATGTTAGCCTAATGCCGTCGCCGCGATCTAGCGAGTTTTGTAACTCTAGGGCATAGGGATGTGTATAATGTAGGGGCTGGCTTCTGGAAGGCACAAGCCCTGTTCTAGGTGTGATAGGCAGGTAGTAAGTAACCAAGGAGCTGTCGAACGACATACCAACAAAACAATCGGAAAGCTTGTCGTGGGGTATTACGGGGTCCGCATCAAGGCCGGCAGATAGGTAATCTTGAGGGTAAAGTCCATCATTGACCGCTGTGGTTTCCTCGAAGCCAGAACCTGGATTCATATCCGGCCAGGGGTCTTGGTGAGGAGATCCAATACCAGATGAAGAGGCACTGCTGACGGAGTGAGCAGAAGTCGAGCTGCGGGACGACAACAGCTCGGGCTGAGAAGCCGTTATAGAAGGGGAGGTTGAGGCGTTGGGGTATAGCTGTTCTTTATGAGCCTGTTGTTGGACACCGGATGTAAAGGGCGGACTGAGAAAGAAGGGGTATGTTTCTGAGAGAAGGGTGGTGTAAGCTCCAAAAGGTGTTTGTTCGTCAACCCTCACTGAGCTTGGAGCACAACGAAACATAGGATCCATCGATATCTCTTGGAAATAGGGATTTTCTTGGGGTGGATATTCCAGGTCTAGCATGGTACGAGTGAGGGCAGCGACCGGAGCGTTTCGATAATCAGCCAGGTTTCGAATACTAATAATCTGCCCACCGGTTCGGGATGGGGGCCGCAAAAGACGGATCGCTGGAGATTAAGGCAGCGGTAGGTACTGTTCTAGTGAAGGAGACCACGTCAGTCCACTCCATCTCACGCTCCAAAACGTCTTGATGCGGACCAGAACCCGAC